AATTTGAATTTCGCTAACATAATCACACGTCGCAAAAAATCCCAGGAAGTAAAATCCTTTCTTTAGAAGCCTGTTAGATACCCGAGATCCCGATCAGTGAGCAATGAATATGGCCAATTTTTTCTGCAGAAACTTCTAAAGTGTTTGTTTTTGAGCCAAAACAGTTATTCCATTGCAGTAACTGGATCGCCTCAGGGTGCTCTAACGCCGTCCGACTGAGTGAATAATCAATACTCCATTTTATAAATCGATACTTCCGTGTGTTTTTCATTAGACTGGCCTATACTCCAGTTTTTCAGCTGTTCCTCTGAGAGTGCAATGATTAAATACATGGATAAACACTGGAGATGTTCTGATTTTCCATCCACTTCAACCATTTTCCTATTATAAAATACCCGGAGTACAAGACTTCGGATAAGGGGAAACCCGTTTCCCATATGTAAATCCAATCTAGATTCTCAGGGGTGAACAGTGGGCCTTCGCAAATATGACACGGTTTGGCTGACTTATGTGGTACCCTAAACAGGACATAGGATTAGGTACGTCCCGCTCAAATAATAAAGGAAGTCCGGAAAGGGCAAAATATCTTCGTCTCCTAACACCAACAATAAACCCAATGCAACACTAAACCGCTGCCCTAATCTTAACCATATCCCTACCCTAGGCCTTAACTCTACAGTTAACATTAGCCCTTACCTTAACGCTAAACTTGCTCCTGACTTCATTATTGTTAACTTAAAATGTAACCTTAAACCTAATCCTTTACCTGGCCCTATTACTAACCCAAAACCTAAGCTTAATTTCAATGGAAGTTGACTCAAAGCCACCCTTATTGCAAGCGTTTCCTGTTCTCATGTCCGGTTTATGAGGCCACGCTCTAACTATGACTCATTAGGGTAAATAGGAGTAACATTATTTGCATTCTGAAATCCAAATCCTTCTAAAGGTTTAGCCAACCAAACAAATGTAATCAAACACCTGTCCAAAAGCCTGGATATTAATTGGTGAAACGTGCTGTATATTCTGCTGTGCACCCGACCACTTGCAGATGGTACATAGTTCACAGTTGTTCATTTAGTCTAGTCTGGACATACCGAACTAATATCTAAGGGGGAGGATGTTCTGACCCAAAGTCTATGGATAAAGTTTCGTCCATGTTTCAAGTAGAGTGGGTCTATGCTACATCATCTTTGCCTCGATCGACGTGAAACTGACCCTTTACAAAGTAAACACTGCGGTTACCGGTAAGATCCATTTTTTCGAGCAGGACAAACTAAAGGGGATATGTGTTAGAAAAGATAGTTCGATCGTCGCATCGACGACGTCCACCGTATGCTTTACAGCGAGATAAGAACAGGGACGGTGGCTTGCGCGTGATTTATAATGAGAGCAGGCTTGCGCCGCATCTACCGCACTCTTTCCACCTCCTCCACCCGGGCCCGCTTTCAAAACAGAGTCAAGAAGACCGGAGACGGGAGAGAGCGCAGGTGGATGGCACGGCCGAGCGCGCACCTTGGCGTTCCACTCCACACCCCCGGTCCACACAACAAATAACCAGGTTTTTTACCAACAACAACAAAGAGGAAGGAGGCTGGCTCGGCCGAAGCAGCCGCACCTAGGCGTGCCGCCATACCCGGTTCGAATTCCACAGAGTGGGAGTGCCAAAAAAGCCACATTAAGAAGGAGCCATTGCAGCCTGACTCTTAGACCACCAATCGGCCACTCCATACAAACAGACAACGTTGGACCGACTGTGAGGTCCACGTTATCTCGTCAGTTGGCAACCTTCCATGTCACGGCTTTTAGCGCACCATGATAGCTTCAAGCGCGTCAGACGCATCGTGATAGCCTCAGACCCGAACCACACATGTAGCAAAGGGGCCGCATGGAGACGGAGCCGAGACGCACGCTTCCCAGTTGCGTGAGAGGTGGTAGTTGGGTACTTGCGGTGGGTGATATTAATGTGCGGTGAGATGATGGTGAGGATGTGACGATGTGGTGCAACCGACGGTTGGCTACCGCAGGATTTCGTGGGCAGGCATGTGGTCGAATAGTCGCATGTGGTGCATGAATGTTCGAGGGCAGTGTGGACAGTGGAGGCAGGTGCGGCTGGTTTAGGTTGGTGCTCCAGGTACCGGTTCGCCAGTCGCTGTGTGATGGATTCGCAGGAGACTGGCTAGGCTGATGTGTGAGATGAAGGTGCGATCTCAACGAGGACAGGTATAGTCCAGATCCTCATCTCTGGTGTCGGCGGTGGTGGTGTTGGTGTCTGTTGGTGTGTCAGGATTGTGTGTAGTGCTGATGTGCATGACAGACGCCACAACGGCAGATGTTGGGGCAGTAGAGTATAGGGATGAGGACGAGTATGAGGAGGAGGAGGAGGAGAATGGATATGGTGGTTTAGGAGGACGGTCAGGGTTAGCTGACGGCGTAGAGGACGAGGAAGAGGTGGACGGAGGGGTGACGGTTGGTGCAGTCCGAGTGGTCCAGTTGAACCGAAGGTGTCCAACAAGTCGAATTGACGCCCGGAATGTCCGTTGACCCCGTGGATACGATGTAGGCGGCTGTGTGGGATGAGCACAGCTGAGTCTTGCGTGCTTAGCGTTTTAATTTCACAGGGGCGATGTGGTTGGCTTTGAAGATTGAGACGCCTGTTTCTCCTTCACGTAGATCAGTCCCGGGCGAGGTCTACCCAGTTTTCCAGGTTGATCTGCGGACGCTTCAGGGAAGCTTTCGGAGTATCCTTGTATCGACAGATTTGGCCTCCTTGGCGGTGTGGACCCGTTGGCGACATCTCCATAGCAGAGTCGTTGGGGTAGTCTTTCGTCGTCCATTCGTACTAGTTGGTCGTTCCAGCATAGTTGTAACTGTCTCAGCATAGCGTAGATGCTGAGAGTTCCCGTCCGCTTCAATACGTCAGTGAGGGAGATTCGGTCCTGCCACCTGCCACCTCAGCTTCAGTATCCGTCAAAAACAGCTGAAGTGGAAGTGGTCGGGTTTACGTGCCTGCCTCATGTACATCGTCCAAGTCTGCTCCATATAGCAAAATCGGTAAAGTGACGGACTTGTACATCTTGAGTTTCGTGCTGACTTGAAAACTGTGACGATTCCAAACTGCGTTACGAAGTCGACCGAAGGCTTGACTGGACTTGGAAATTTGGCGGGCCATTTTGTCGTCGATTTTGTTGCTGCGCGAAAGAGTGCTGCCCACCACCTGCAGTTGGGCGCCGTTCACGATGTTTTGCGGCGCATTGTGTGTATTGTTGGATGGCCGTCGGTGCATAACCACCATCTTCTCCGTGTTGATAACCAGGTAGAAGTTGTCGTAGGCGGCGGAGAAGAGATCCATGCCCCTTTGCATGTCTCCCTCGGTAGTTGCATTAAGGGCACAGTGATTGGCGAACAGACGTTCGTGAACGGTAGTTGTGCATACATGCGACTGAAATTGCATCCGCCGCTGATTGAGGAGGTGGCCGTCCGTCCTATAGGCGATGTGGATCCCGGGATGTTTGCCACGGTAGGCGAACGGCATGGCAGAGAATATAAGACTAAAGAGGATGGGCGCCAGGACGCACCCATGATTCACTGCGTTGGTCACTGCGAATGCCTCTGAAACAACTCCATTGTCCGTGACGCGCACCAACATGCCATCATGGAGCTGACACACCATCTGAATGAATCGCACGGAACAGTCGAATTTCTGATGATTTTCGAAAGTTCCTCGCGATTCACCATGTGGAGGGCTTTCGTCAGATCCACAAATATAGAGTAGAGGTAGGTACGCATCTCCTGACACTTCTCCTGCAATTGACGGGCGGTGAAGATCATGTCCGCGGTTCCACGAATATGGCGGAAGTCGCACTGGCTTTCCGGCCGAAGACCTTGATCTAGGTGATTGTTTAGGCGATTGAGAGGGATGCGAGCAAAGATTTTACCGACGATATTCAGCAGGGAGATACGTCGATTATTGTCACAGACTTGACGGTCCCCTTTCCGCTTGTAAAGATGGACGATGGTGGGGTCCCTGAAATCCTGGTGGACCTCTCCTCGGCGCCACATCTCCTGAAAGGGCGTTGTCAGACGACCCAAGATTTGGGGTCCGCCGTGCTTTTAGATCTCATCAGGGATCACGTCCGATCCGGCGCTTTACCGCTAGAGAACTGCTGCGCGGCCCTGAGGGTTTCGAGGAGGGTGGGCGGAGGTTGAGGTCTACGTTGGCCTCCATCTGAGGCACACGGGCGACGGCGGCATCAGAGATGGTGGAGGGACGGTTTGGGACGCTCCTGAAGTGTTCGGTCCATCGTTGAGGAATTTTTGTTTCCTCCTTGAGTAGGATATTCACGTCGGCGCTATGGAGAGAGAAAATTGCTTTGTTTGGCGGACGGTAGACAGCTTAGCTCGCGGAGAAGAAGTTCTTCCATTTGTGGCGATCCGCGTACCCTTAGATTTCCTCGGCCTTGCGAGCCATCCAGGCGTCCGGCGTCTCCCGCAGCCACTGTTATACAAGACGGCGACGACGGTAGAAGGCTGCTTTATTGTCGTCGATTGGGCGATTGAGGTAGGTCTTGCGCAGGTGGTTCTCCTCAGAAAGCAGTTTGCTGATGGGGGCGTCGGCGTCATCGAACCAGTCCTGATGTGGGCGGCGTGCGCGAAAAAGAACTGCCGGCGCTGTCGGCTGGACTGTGTCCTGCATTTGCAGGCAAAGACAATAGGGCAGTATTCAGCTTACCTGGGGGTCGCTTACCTTGAGGTCTCCTGTGAGGCCGCAGACGAATCCGTATCGTGGAGATGACGAGACGATGGCCGGTCCACCCGTCAGCACCCGGAATCGCCTTTCTTGCCAGCCGCACATGGATACCTCCACCTGGTATTGCCCGCCGGTCGAGGCCGTCACCGGGGTGCGGCCGCTAGGTAGAACCTATCGTAGGGGAGCCACATGTGAGAGTTTGATGACACCAAAAGGATGCTAACTATAGTCTGCACCCGCTGTTAAATGAGCGACCTACTAGCAATGTCACATGAATCCACCGCTGGACATCCCTGCACCCCATGTGTTAGATACACATTCCTACTGAATGGGCGTCCATTTGTGGAGGGCTGAGACGCCAGTGTCTCCACTGCCATTAAGAGCGGCATAGTGCGACTGCTGTGATGCTCCAGCTGGAAATCGACGGATACGTGACTGTGCTCTGCGGTGACATACTTGCCACCGTCGTCAGTGCCTACGTGCCCAAAGGGAGAGGAGACAAACAAATTCTACGACGATTAGAACACCTTCTGGAGGTTGTGCCGAACGCGACTGTTGATCTCAATGCGAATGTCGGTTCAGGCAATCCTAATTTGGAGCGAGCTCTAGATCGCCTTTTGCTCGGCAGTTGCGACAGCAATGGTTGACTTATTCCGTATGTCTGTATATAAAAACAAGTTGCCCTCTCCCCCAACGCTTTTATTAGCCTTCGCGTCCAGGTGAAGACGACGTGGATGTTCCCTCGTTTGCGCAATTGACCGTTGCTGGACTGCGCCCTCCTCCGAAGGAGTGACCAACCAGACGTTCCTGTGACCGACGCGATTTGCGGTGCGGAATGCTGAACTGACCAACGCCTTTTTGTTTGCAAGATGAGGCTGCAACTGCAAGACAAACGGACAGCAGGTGAGTTAAATACTGTATTGTTGGACAGGAATGCCAGCTGTGGAATCTTAACAGCCAAGGGAACCTGCGTCTGGAACGAATGCAATTTCTGGAAGAAAACGTAAACTCTGAGAGGCAGTAGATTCTCCTGTGAAGAGTCGTCCACCTCATTGCGAAGGAAGTTCTTGACCACACGCCGACAGTACCGGCGACGATAAAATGACAGTGATAAGGAAATCCGAAATCTTCTGTCCAAGAAGAACAAACTTTACACGATCTACGTCAGCAACCACAACAACAGCTACGGGACCGACGCCAGTAAGGCCGCGTTCATCTGATGCCAAAATCTACTGCTGCATAAGTTGAGGGAGATGACGAAAGGCCGACTGATTCCTAGAGCTGACGAAGTCTCACCATGCGAATACCGTGATGAGACAATGAGTGTCTTCGCCCTTACAAAGCAGTCGATGATCCTAAGCCAAAGGAGCTACGGCAATGTTACACAAAGATGGGGAACCCTGCCGAAAGAGAGGTCGCAGATCCTGAGGCGCTAGATCGATCATTTCAGCGGTATCCTTAATCGCCCTTCGTTAATCTACGAAGAAGCCATCAGCCGACTTCCTCAAGCGGACACCCGTGACGACCTCGATCGTCCACTTCCTCATACAGAGCCAATCAACCGAGAAGCCTTGGATGCCGGCACGGTTTGCTTCATTGTAGCCCTGAAAGCGATGCTTGGGAAACTGAGGCGACCGTCGTTACCAACCACTCCGCCTGATAACGTTGTACCCTCGTTTGATGACGCGCAGACCAATACAGTGGGTTGGGAAGAGTGAGTCAATAGCCATGGAGTAACTGAGGAGCGACGAATACATCACCGTTCTGCCCGTTAATAAGGAACTATAAACGGTCATTATGAACTAAACCAAGACTCTGTTTGAGAATGTTACAGACCGGCACAGAACATATAAGGCAAAGCAATTGCAGGTCGGTTGAATAAATTACCTGGAGAAGTTGAGCGCGAAAATGTGATCACGGGGAACCGATAGTGTTAAACTAAAACAGCTGATACTGCTCTGTCTTCATTTTGTGGCTTGCAAAGACCCACAGAACAAATGTTTTATTGTGACAAATCGGCACCCTAAAAGGCAACCCACCTATGATTTGGCGAAGAGTATCAACTCAAAACTAAAGCTCTTCCTTGGCGATTCGATCACCTCAGTCCGATCAGCTTCCCATTTCCTTGTGCATAGACCTCCCAAGTCCGATGATCCAATGGGACTAAGTCATTATTTCTTTCGAAGTGACCTTTTTATTTGCCATCAATTCCCCGATATTTTGACGATGTTACTTTGGTGTCACATTTGTTACCGTCAAGACGGAAATGCTGCAGAATTTCTACGATCTGTCCATCTAAATCTGCCCGCAGAGGAAGAAAAGGAGCGACGGCTGTCCCTCCATGATGAGCTCGTCAGGCTATTTCTCAGTGGCTAAATAGAGACGGTAGGTTGCAGGAAGACAATGAACACTACGCAGTTTCTTCGTTTCATAGTAACCACTTGGTGTCTGACAATCGAAGTTGTGTGAGAACGCTGTCCAGTGGAATTAATACTCACTGCAGCAACCTGGACGAAATAGCACGCGACGGCCGATATCGCCGCGACCAGTTTCTGCGGAATGCTATCCATATGCGTGCATAAGATGTTGTCTACGTATTCATTCCCAGGGACCCAAACGGAAATACTATGCCTAGTATACAGCATGCACTGCTATGCATTCAGGAACAACTGAGTACATTGCCGAGGAACTGGGTGTTGGAATTACACAGAGACTCGAAACTATCCTGCACAGTATGGCCATAAAAATCAAAACACCGGCCAAATCAGGGGGAGCAGTCAAGAGTATTGTGCCAAACCGCGTAGGTAAACTGTTGAGAGAGAGAGAGGAATTGAGGAACTGAGGAGGTCAGACTGAAGGCAAGCCCGATCAGCACATGAGGTCTTGCGCAAAAGTTGAAAGAGGCCTACAACAAAACTCGGAAAGCCTAAAACTTTTGCGTTTCACGAGCTGTTCGCATTTTCCCAAAAGCTTACTTCATCTCTGCAAGAGAAACCTAAGCGCTGAACAACGGAACCACAATGAGCTTCCCAATTCCCGGTTTGATGGCAGAACTTGTCGTATGATAGCTAGAGACGACATGCTTCATTCAACAGGAGCCGATATTTTAACGACGTTACATTGACGACACTTTTGTTTTTATCATGAAGAACATGCTGCAGATCTTGAATGATCTGTTAAACTAAATCTTCTCGGTTATTCAATTCAAGAGGGGGGCGTAAAGAAGCGACAGCTGCTCTTCCTTGATGTGATCATCAGGCGAATTCCGAACGTCAAACTACAGACAACGATTTACTGGGAGGCAACGAACACCACGCAACTTCTCGGCGTTCACTGAAACCATCCTATGGCTCACAGTCGAAGTTCTGTGAGAGTATTCTTCAATTGGACTCACACCCACTGCCTCGATCAGGAAGAAGAAGCACACAAGGCCTGATACGTCTGCAACCAGTTTATGCGGAATGGTCATTCGAAGGTCTCTATAAGTCGATGCCTACGTGTTCACCCCCAAGTTCAGACAGAAACTATATACTGGCATTGTGGCATACTCCGCTACGCATTTAGCTTCAACCAGTGCGTTGTTGGGGAACTGGGTGTCAGAATTTCCCACCAACCCACAGCTACTGTAAGTAGCCGGGTCATGAAATAACAAGAAACCGGTCAAATCCGGGGAGCAGTCAAGCGTGTTGTGTCGTACCGTGTGGCTAAACTGTCCTTGCAGTTACAGAAGTCAGACTGAACGCATACTCGTAGCATAAGATGACTGTGCGACGGGGTGGTTACCTACACCCTCGAAACAGATCAGCAAGTTAGCTCTGCAATCACCAAGATGGTCGCCCACGCCGGAAACGAGACAAGCTGAAGCCTGGTCTTCTGAATTGGAATCAGTCAATGGATCTATGGATCTGGTGCCGGCATACAGGGTCGGACTCAGCCACCTCCATGCATGCCTCACTGATCGTTGATTAACAAATAACCCCGCCCCCCTCCTCCCCACAACTGCCGTCTCTTCTGCTGTCCCCTTTAGCTTTGACGATGGACTCTCGTACGAACTCGAAAGCTTAGAAAAATAAAAAAATGATTCCTGCGACCGAGCAGTCTTATTCATTACCCTAAAACATTTACTTCTGATACCACCCTACCACCCCTGGGATTTATGAACTGTAAGCTATGAGGCAGAAATTGAGGTCAGCTTAAAATCGGCCTCGTCGTAAATTTCCCTTGAGAATAATTCATCTCCTCACACTCGTTTGTGCTGCCTGGTGGCCCTATGCGCGCTTCTCTTCTCACCTGGTGTTGAGATTTGCAAAAAGGTCAGGTCAAATGCGGGCAATTAATCCAGATCTTATGTTCACCTCTCGGCAATGAGGGCTTCGCAGAATTCAGTCGGCTAATTCTAACTGAAACAAATTGGTGCACCTCAGAATCTTTGGTCGGCCTGTCTTGTTGCGCATCCAGGATTGTACATTCACTATTTTACCATTGACAGCAGTCTTTCAATAAGACTGTTAGGTCATCATTCCAATCCAGAGCAGAGCTCGGGTAATAAGCAGATTTTGCATTTCAGCACTGAGTTTAACTGGGAAAATATTGCCTATGGCATGAAGGCGAAAGTCGAACGTTTTTTCGGGTAATTTAAATGGGTTAACACTCCTGCAGTAGGGAGCTACTTTCATGCCAGGCGCACTTTCTTCGCCTGATTCACTGTCAGTGTTAATGTAGCATCCACTTCAGTAGAGAAAGTTATGCCTTTGTCGTCACCTGTTTCAGTATGCAAGAAAATAGCTCAATAAGTCTAAGCTGTAGAGTCTCGGATTGCATTAGATTGCGTAGTCGCCGTCATTTTCGAAAGCATCGCACTTTCTTCCAATTATGGGGTTTGTTATGTATAAATGCTGGTGTTTTTTGATATTAATTAGACCCTGTTCACACAACACTGAGGCGGAATTACGCATCATGTACCGTGCCTTCTGCTGCCTAAGGTACTAGGATCCGATGGCAAGATAATGTCAGATTACTGTATACGGCTCGGACGCGGTGGCTGAAAAAATTGATAGCCCGTCCGCGAGTGCAACACAGAACCTAGTCACCACAACTTGTGCCAG